TCAAACTGTGATATTGGACTTTCTCCTGAACATGGCTGACATTTGCGTGCTTCGGGGGCCGGTTGTTTCTGTCTTGGCTGAGCTGATAAAAAGCATTTAAAAGAACACAAATGTCAAACAGCTGGTGCATGATACTACAGTGGGCTCCGTGCACGCATTAGCACAACGGTAAATGTCACTTCAGATGTGTCCGTACTCGGGGTCTTGCGAGCGTGCACGTGCGAGATATGGAGTGCACGTGTAACCCTATGGCTGTTAATGGAAATGTGAAATAGAGAGAAGCCAGACATTAGGATTCAGTCCACGCTGCACGGGACTGACAGAGAGCACAGGTTTAAAGGAAAAACATAGGAGAAATGCGTGTTTTTGAACGGCTGCTTTCACGTTCTCATTTCAAGTGATGTAAACATTTCAGAAGGCATGTGAAGATATTACAGAACGGGTCAAGTGCAGCTCGTCTAACATGTCCAGAGAGAATGCACTGTTATTTATTGGTATTTTTAAAGGGATTGGATTCACAATTCTACAGATGTATTATTGCTCTGCCTCGAATTTTCCACAGTATGACATTAGACAGCTCTAATTTACATTTATTCAATTACAGGCGGCTTTATAGCTCAAAAATATCTGGAAAAACTGGCCTAAACTGGCAACTTGGTTTGGTTTGGTCTCCATGAAGATAGAAAGTTTAATGCCACGCCACAATGCACCTTTAATCCAGCCTTGCTTTGGATTCCCACAATTGAAAACATTTTTCCAGGAATTTTCGGGGGCATTTTAACAATGTAATCACAGCATCTACAATTATATTACCCTCTTAGTACAGTTTTTCTAATGAAGATGCAGCCTAAAGCTATATCCAAAGTCCATAGTGACTGCAATTTAAAATTAATTACACACCAAGACAAACACATAATTCGCATAACTTTCCAGTGCGATAGAATTGCAGTGTATATTCCGACATATATCAACAAAAATATATCTTCTTGTGACTGCACAAAAATTACATTAAGAATATATACCGTGGTCGTAGGCTGCTCTACAAAGGCAAAAAATCTTAACTCTCCAGAGTGTAAAACTGAGAAAAATGACTTCAAAGTTTCTGTTTTGTCCAGACAAAAGTACAAAATGAAGGGCTCCCAAAATTTGACAACTAATTGCTATAATGAAAAAAAATTTGTATGCAAAAAATATTGCGCTCATAATTGACCTTTGACCCTTATTTGTCAGTTCCTGTACTGTGCCTTTTTATCATGAACCAAAAATAAGTAGTCATGCAAAGGCAAAAAAAAAAAATGGCTGAAACTGACATTATCTTTTTTATTTGCTTGATTTTGCCCAGACTTCCATCCATTATAAAAACACCTCACCAAGGTCCAGTCATCATGTGTTTGTTTGAAATGATATAGAAGAGCTTTGGATTTCCTGTTTAGCGCTGATCCGGATCGTGCAGCGACATTTACACACTTAAACCGTTTGACACACAAGTGACTTTGCAGTATAGTATGTACAGTATGAATAAATACACCAAGTACTTTTACATGTAAGTATAAATGAATAGAAAGGTTTATTTATTGAATGTGTTAAGACCCTGTGCCAAGGCCGCAACAAAAAGGAGGAGGCGAGAAGTTGGATGTTAAAAATAAAATGTATTTATGAACTAAATCACAAACAAAACATACACTGTTACTGCCTTTTGTCTTAGCGTGACTCCTTATTTTTGTGTCATAATACCCAGGCAGAGTACAGGAACTGACAAATAAAGGTCAATTCTGAGCTCAGTATTTTTCATGATATTTATTCACATGATAAAGGAGGTCTCAAATACGTACAAAATGACATGAACTCATTTTTGACCAAACATGATGTTACGGCGTTCTACCTTTGCAGGGCCGTAGGGTTACACTGATACTAGTAGAACACAAGGGACCCCTGTGTGATGCCACGGTCATAGCACCCAACTCTTCTTACGATGTTGATGGTGGCAATAAAGTCTATTAATTTAACACCCAATAATCCAGCAAAGCAAAAGGTGGAGACAAATCAAGATTTTCCAGGACATTTTTATTCTACTTTTTCTCATTTTCCATGCGTTTTCCACATCTGAAAAACAGGTGAAGTATTATTTTCCAGTTGTTCCAGGACGTGTGGGAAACACGGCTAATAAACTGTGTCAAAATATTTGTTCAGACTTTAAGTAGTTTCCCAATTATGTAAAACGAAATCAATATAAACTCATATCCGTGGGTTTCAAGCTCGCAACTGTGATTAATTCAAATAAAAATATTATATGTTTTAAATTGGGCAATGTCCTCATAAAACTTTAAAATCTAGAAGGAATCATTTGCCTGAAACCCATGAGCCCCGCACTGCTTTAGAAAACTATAATTATACAAAGAATTATCTCTATATAACAATGATTTTTAGTCTGCAGTGCATAGCAATTACTCGTGATGGACTGGAGCTAATGTTCTTCTAACAAAACACCCTGTATTTTATTAGGCTAAGTGAATAAAATATTGACTAATCTGGAGCTCTAAGACCAATATCCTAAAAGTAAAATATTTGCTTTGTCTAAGAAGCTGACAGCTACTTCCCTTTTACCCTCATTTCAGAAGAGAAGAGAAGTACTTGTACAAAAAGTGGTGACACGAAATACTAGCAGTGCTGTCACGATACTACAATTTCAAACTCAATTTCAATACTAAGGAAACAATTTGATACTCAATACCGATGATAAATCCGTGTATCATTCGTTCATTTGTTTTTCAATATAAAACCAAAAATAAGAAAACGAAAAAACAACTGTTAAACAGATAATGATTCATTTTTTCAGTTTTTGGTTTTGAGTTTAAATGAAGAATGGAAAAAAATGGATAACGGCCGTTTCCCGTTTACGTGACTTCCGTGACTGCAATGCCGAACTTTTGCACCGCATACGGACTGAACCAGGACTGATCCAGGTCCGAGACCAGACCGGGACTAGAGCGGGACCAGAGCGGGAACACAAAATTGAAAACGGAAAAAACAAATCATTATCTGTTTTTTCATTTTGGTTTTGGAGACAAAGAAAAACAGTTGTTTTTTCATTTTCTTATTTTTGGTTTTATATTGAAAAACAAATGAACAAATGATACATGGATTCTGATACCATAATGATACTTAAAAACACAAAAGAATGTGATTTTCAACATTAAAAGTGAACTATGTCACTTTTTCACTGGGGGTCCATCAGCTGCTTGTTTCTACTGGGATGTCATTGCTCTGCCTGGAATGTTCCACAGTATGACATTAAGCAGCTCTACCTTACATTTATTCAGTTACAGGTGGTTTTATAACTTAAAATACCTACAAAAACAGGCATTCTGACTGTGAGCAGGGTTGCCTCTCCACAGCTCTGACCAGTAACCTGGTCTGGTTTGGTCTCCATGAAGATAGAAAGGTTTAATACCACACTGAAACATTCCAGACAAAGCAATTACATCTACACAGAAAAAACACATTTGACAGACCTTCCACCTAAAAAAGTTACACAATGCACTTTTAACATAGTACTTTCTTTTGTGTAATCCTCAGTGGTCCAGGTAAGTTCCATAGTGGACCATGGGCGTATACTAGGCCATTGTTTCCCAAAGACTGGGTCGCAACACTCAGGTGGGCGACAAGAGATTTTTTTTGGAGTCGCTTTGTCACGATCTGCATGTAGGTCTGTGATATACAGTTCTGACCCACGAGAGAGCGAGTGAGTCAGCCAATCCTATCTGCCTCCCCTGAACAAGAGTTCCTGCAGCTAAAGTTGAGAAATGCTTGCTTGGTTGTCCAAAAAAAAAGGGTGATAAATCAGCAAAGGTCAGTGCACTTCAGGATATGTATGGATACCTTTTATTGCTGGTTCGATTACAGTTTTTCATTGTTTAAAACTTGAGTACCGTATTTTTTGGATTATAAATCACTCCGGAGTATAAGTCGCACCAGCCAAAAAATGTGAAATGAAGAAGAAAAAAATATATGTCACACCAGACTATAAGTCACACTTTTTTGCTGAAATAAATTTTATAAAATCAGAGACCAGGAACTGACATTTCATGTTGAAAGTTAAGTTCTAGTAATAACAATAGAACAGAGAACAATAGACTGTTAACGTTACATATGAACATTCACATTCTTCAGTTAACTATAACATAAACAACAGAACAGAACAAGTTTACCAAACTCTCCATCTCACTCCAAATCACTAAATCCATTGAATTATACAACCTCGGTGTCACTTTTGAGCAACTTCGCGACCTCCAGAGGTAAACGGAGCGCCACTTCCTCTTCTGCGTCGCTGTCATCAGACTCAACATCAGTTTCAGTTAGAATTATTCCAGCCTTTCTGAATCCCAACACGATGGTTTCAGTGTCACTGAACTTCAGGCTTTGTCGATCCATCCAGTGACTTCCAGGAAAGTTTCATGGTGCATCCTCCCAGTGTCACAAGTTTCTCGCTCATTCCAAATTTTCTTTTTGCTGCTCAATTACCATTTTCGGCTGCATATTTCACTACTTGCAGCTTGTAATCTGCAAAATGTGATTTTCTTTTTGGGAGCATTTGTGTCTCTTTCTGCAAAATTTTAATATATATGTCGTATCGGAGTATAAGTCACAGGAAACACCCAAACAAAGAAAAAAAGTGCGACTTATAGTCCAAAAAATACGGTAATACTAATTGCTCAGAGACACAATCATAATGGTCAAATCCACATTTATTTTGTGATTTACGAATAATGTGGATTGACTTGGATCATGAAAATTTTACTTTTAAAATATGGGTCCCCAGAAAAAAAGTTTTGGAAACACTGATTTTTTTTTTTTTACTCTAGATTTTGATGAGTTGCTAGTTTTGATACTAGTTTCAATATCGCCTAGTATCTGATTGTTGATACTTTTGACCACCCTAACACAAAAACACAAGTATATAAGGTGTGTGGCAGAAATGTCTGAGTAGAGGAGGCTCTTACCGTATCCTGCTGTTTGTCCGCTCTCTCATTGGCCTCGTCCAGCTGTTTCTGCAGCGCCACCTGGAGGGACTTCATCTCATCCCTGCAACAACAAACAATATTCAATCATGACTTTTTATTTATATGTATATTTTTTCAAGGTGCACAGTGTAACTTTTTGGTGGAGGGGCCGCCAAATGCTTTTCTTTATGGAGATGTTATTGTTTTGTCTGGAATGTTTCACAGCATGGCATTAATAAACCTTTCTTCATTTTAAACCTGTCTTCATGGAGATCAAACCAGACCAAATTACAGGTCAGATCTGACTGAACCAGGACTGAACCAGGACTGAAGCAGGACAGAACCATGATAGAACCAGGACTAAAACAGCACTAAAACCAGAATGGAAACAGAACTAAGTATCGGTATGGACCCACGTAGACCTTCAGGTGACCGCAGGAGAAAGGATCGGCTCAGAGCTCCGCACCCTGTGGGGCTCAGCGCTGTCGCCACCCGATCACCCTTTCTGGACACTCTGCTCCATGGACTTGGGGTTTTTTTCTCTCCCAGTTTAGTCTTGCTTTAGTCCTGGTTTAGACCTGGTTCAGTCCTGTTTTAGTCCTGGTTCAGTCCTGGTTTAGACCTGGTTCTATCCTGTCTTAGTCATGGTTCAGTCATGGTTTAGACCTGGTTCAGTCCTGTTTAAGTCCTGGTTCAGTCCTGGTTTAGTCCTGGTTTAGACCTGGTTCAGTCCTGGTTTAGTCCTGGTTCAGTCCTGGTTTAGTTCTGGTTCAGACCTGGTTCAGTCCTGGTTCACTCCTGGGTTAGTCCTGGTTCAGTCCTGTTTCAGTCCTGGTTCAGTTCTGGTTCAGTCCTGGTTCAGACTACAATCTTATACAATCTTTTTTTTGTTTTGTTTTATTGACATATTTACACTATTAAAATATATATATATTTTTCAAGTAAATATTTTTATTGGCCAAATTATAGACTCAGTATTTCAGCTACGGTGGGGGACCCCTGCAAACTCCACCTATGGTTAAAATGCCTGTTTCCTTTCAGGTATTTTTGAGCTATAAAACCATTGGTAATTTAAATGTAAGAGAGAACTGTTTAATGTCATACTGTGGAACATTCCAGGCAGGGTAATGGTATCTCCTTAGAAACACGCAAGTGACAAACCCCCAACCAACAAGTTCCACAGTGCATCTTTAAGAATTGCTTGTCCCTGTATGATAAATGTCTCCTCTGCCTTTGATCCATCCTTAAACATCTTGTAATTGTCTCGTGTGTGACGCGCTCTGGGACAACAGATGGAAATGAGCGTCTTTGCTAGAACCTGACATATTTACACTGCGAGTGTTATAGATGCCCATTAATATGCAGTCCCCATCAAATAAATTAATTAAAACAATAAATTACCAGTACCCTGAGAAACCCGTAATGAGAGATCCCTTTCTGAGTCTGGATCCCGGCCAAGAATACTGAGCCGAAAGATTAGCTAATGTGCCTGTCCAGGAAATCCACCCAGACACAGGGAGAATATGCAAATAAGCCCACAGCCTACTATGAAAAGTATTAGAAATGTGTTACAAAATCGTTGACTTTTACAGTATTTCCATTATAAAACTATGAGAAACGCTTTACTTTACAGTACACTTATTAACATATAGCTTTTTAATTTCCATTTATATACAGTATGTGCTTCATTTGATTCTCTTTGTATTTACTTGGCCTTTATTGATGTTTTATTCTACGAGTTTATTCTGATGCTAATTAGGCATTGCTAACACTTTCAAATGATTAAACTCCATATTACAGCTTATTAGTTTTTATGTTAACATTTTCGTACACAAATAAGCTTTAATAGTGTACTCGCCCATAACAGTATCTTATTACAAAAGGTCAATTAGGATCATAATTCTTGTACAAAAATATACCAGTCTGCAGCAGTGTGGTTGTGTCGGCAACAGTGTCGAGAGTAATGAGTTATAAAAGTCACAAATTACTGTAATGCGTTGCTTTTTGCTGTAACGCAGTAATGTAAGGCATTATAGGGAAAAAAAACTAAACACAACTGTAATATTTTACTCAGTACAAATGTGATTAAATGCGTGTTAAAATGCTTTTTTAACCTGGATGGAAGTGGTAGGTTTTTCGGTTTTCTTCATACAAATTTGCTAAAATCATTGTGATATCAGCAGTGGTGAAATGCCATCGTTATGGTTCCGAATGTCGGGCCAGTCCCAGAGGTGCGCCCGCATAGACCGTCGGGTGACCGCGGGCCAAAAGACTGAAGCAGAGCTCCACGGGGCTAACCGCAGCTGACAGGCTCAGGGTTCTCTCAGAGGCAGTCCTAGATTCCAAGTCCTAGTCCAAGATTAGTCCTGTTTTGGTCCTGGTTCAGTCCTGGGTTCAGTCCTGGTTCAGTCCTGGTTTAGACCTGTTTTAGTCCTGGTTGAGACCTGTTTTAGTCCTGGTTGAGACCTGTTTTAGTCCTGGTTTAGACCTGGTTTAATCCTGGTTTAGACCTTGTTTGAGTCTTGTTTTAGTCCTGGTTTAGACCTGGTTTAGTTCTGGTTTAGTCCTTGTTTAGACCTGGTTTAGTCTTGGTTTAGACCTGTTTTAGTCCTGGTTTAGACCTGTTTTAGTCCTGGTTTAGACCTTGTTTAGACCTATTTGAGTCTTGGTTTAGGCCTTGTTTAGACCTGGTTTAGTCCTTGTTTAGACCTGGTTTAGCCTTGGTTTAGACCTGTTTTAGTCCTGGTTTAGTCCTGGATTAGACCTGGTTTAGACCTGGTTTAGTCCTCCTGGTTCAGTCCTCGGTTCAGTCCTGTTTTAGTCCTGGTTTAAAACCTGGTTTAGTCCTGGTTCAGTCCATATACGGTGCAAAAGTTTGGCATCTTCGCTCGCTGATTGTTATTTGACAATCAGCGACAGTTATTTTGGTGAGAGTAACTTAAAAGTAATACAATAGTCGTGTAATGTCTTACATTTTATATGCAGTAATATTGTAATGTAACAAATTACTTTGAAATGACAGTAACAACTCATAAGTAACACATTACAGTTTTGAGGTAACTTTTACATTTTTACAGTTTTTTTTTACATTTTGCTCTGTACCTCATCTCACTGAATGAAATCTGTACAAAATATAGCATTCAGTATCACTTCTACTACTGCAGATGATTGCCAAATTAACCCACCACTTGCTTTTGACCCACAATTTTTTTATGTCATAATGAAGGCAAAACTGAGGTGATTGTGTTTGGTAATACACAAGACATGTTTTTATTCCCTTAAAACATCCCTGACAACCACAAGACCACCAGGATGCATTTGTGAGAGGAAAACTGTGTCCACAACAACATTTGAGACACTGTTGACCGCCTCAGGTACCACAACAATTGTCAAACTCCAGTACATTGGGTCCCACATGTCATGGAAACAGTGGATATAGATCTGGCATGCCACCTGTGGACACAAGGGGTACTTCTCTAACTGAACCATGACCCAAACTATTATAGGAATCACAAGCGTGAAATGGCTCGCTCTTCACAAAACTGGGTTCCACATGTGAAATTTTAATGGGAGACAGAGTAAGACTGAGCAAGCACTTGTCAACAAACCCCAAGTAGACACAACTTCCACGATAAATGCCAACCACTCAAGTTGTCCATCTACGAAACATACGGAGACATGACCAGCTCGACAGAACAACGGCAGAAACAGAAAATGGAAAAATGGAAACCAACAATATCAACCTATATAAACCTTAAAGAATTGGAGAAACAAAATGATGCATCTTGGTGTCTTCTAAAAAAAAAAAAAAAAAAAGGTAGGTGTGGCCAATTCCAGAAAGGAAAGAGAGCTTTAGGAAAAAAATCACCAATTTTATTTAACATCTAACACTGAGACACATTAAAATACACAGGCCCAAGTCTCAATGAAGGCAAAACTGAGGTCATTGTGTTTGGTAATACCGACCCTCTCACTGACCTGGACCGCTGAAATAGCGCATGAAACAGTCACCAAACTTGGCATCACTATGGACAGTGATTTTAAATTTGACAAACAAGTAAATGTGGTTGCGGTTGTAAAATCTGGCTTTTATCATTTGTGGCTTCTATCTAAAATTAAACCTTTTTTGTCTTTTAAATCATCTGAACAGGTCACGCACGCTTTTATCTCCTCTCATTTAGACGACTGTAATGCACTTTTTTCTGGCATCAGCCTCCGTGCACTTTTTCTCTTGCAGTTAGTCCAAAATTGTGCTGTGCGACTTTTAACTGGAACCAAAAAAAAAAAAAAAACGTGAGCACATTACCCAGATTTTAGCTTCTTTGCACAGGCTTCCAGTTCGATTTAGAGTCGATTTTAAGATTTTATTGTTTGTTTTTAAAGCTTTGAATGGACTGGCCACACAGTACATCTCGGACCTCATCCAGATTTACTGCCCGGTGTGCGCTCTGTGGTCCGAGGGCCAGCTCCAGCTCGTGGTGCCTAAGACAAGACTTAAAACCAGAGGGTCAGGACCTTCTCTGAGACTGGCCCCAAACTCTGGAACACTCTGACCCCCCACATCCGAACATCCCCTACAGTAGAGTGTTTTAAGTCTCGTCTTAAGACCCACTTTTACTCTCTGGCTCTTAACACCGTGTGAGTTGTGGATTCCTCTGAGTCTTTTATTTATTACCTCCGCCAAGGAGGTTATGTTTTTGCCGGCGTTTGTCTGTTTGTTTGTTTTTGTTTGTTTGTTTGTTTGTCTGTTAGCAACATAACTCAAAAAGTTATGGACCGATTTTGATGAAATTTTCAGGATTTGTTGGAAATGTGAAAAGGAAGAACTGATTTCATTTTGGGGGTGATCCGGAAGAAATCCTGGATTCTGGATCACTTTGAAATTTTAGTTAACATTGCGGTAAATGGGGCCAAAAATTTTGTTTCTCAATATCTCAGTTAATTATTCACCAAACCCCATGAAATTTGACTCAGGGATGGACAATGGGATCCTCTTTCATATTCCAAATTGAAAGATACGAGACAAATATTTATGGAAAACACAATTAATATGAGGGGGACTGTAGTCCTTGGCGGAGGTCT